TCTTACCATACTATACATATTGGTAAGATATAAATATGAAGAAAGAAAGATATTTTTTTGGTAAGCGCTTAGCGACAACTGGAGAATAGAGCTCAGGAAAAAGTTGGTCGGCGAATGCTGGTCAGTGGTCTATGCTCCATGAGGGGTAACAGGCTTAAGGAAGTGTACGAAAAAATAAAGTTAGAAAGAGAGAGAATATGTATGATAATATACACCTTCATCATTTTTTATATATTAGTTGTCTAAATATAGTACATTGTATTTATCTTTATTTTAAAAATGAACAATTATTCACATACACAATACATTGATCAAACGTTCTTTTTTTGTGAATATTAATCCCATTTTGTTCTCATTAAATAAATTACCTTTAAGTTAAAGTATAATAACTCTTGATGTATTCATCTAAATATTAATTTTTTTATTTATAACATGGACGACAATTTCTTTTTAATGTACTAGAATGTAATGAAAAATTTGTAATTTTGACTTTACAAATTTTCAAATGTAGAAAACTGTTTCATCATGACTCTACCACCCCCACCCCCACCTCCACCCCCAACAACAACAACAACAATTAAACACACATGCACACAAGCCGTTAGTGAACACTTAAGAATGCTTTTAAAGTAGATAAATAAAATACCATTCGTTTTGAAAAGCTATTACCCATATTTTTTAGGAAAACATAGTTAAGGGAACAGTTTTTGTTTTAAAAATAAAGGTACTTTTATTTGTATTTGTATGTGCATATACACCATTCAAAATAAAACTTTATGTAAAATCACTTAAATGACTCGATAAGAATTTATGTTAATTTTATTTTTGTTCTAGAACCTATAAATTTTTCAATGTTATCAAGATTATATGAAAATAAGCTATAGAGGATAAGGATAAATCTGTTTGAAAATTTGATTCTAATTAAAAAGGTATACTACTAAATAAATTGAGTAGTATATAGTATTTCTCTCAAAATCGAAGTTAATGGCAATGATATTTGAATCTTTTAAATAATAATATATTGAGATCATCTGAAGAAATAAAAAAATCGGAAAGTACTGAAAAACTATTTCTTTCTAGTTTGATACTTCTCACTAGTGTGGATCTATGACTTCACATGAGATCGGACGTACTACTATAATATCTCATAGTTAGCATTTGTTAAGAGTACCAAACTAAAACAAAACAACTCCACAACTCCTTTCGGTTTCCGATAATTCTTATTTTCATATCATTCCTTAATGAAACTGATAGTAAAGTTTGAGATCTTCATAAATCACCTAACTAGATTTTTATCATATATGTCTGATTATAGCTGTCTAGATATAATTCAGGTTTGTGAAGAATTCACATTTTTCTTAAGCTAAGTTTTCGGTATTTGGTCAAAATTTCATCTGTCACCTTGAAACCACAAACTGATTACTTAAAAGTTACTCGGTTTCAAAAGATTTCACTAAGAATTGTCCAATATTTTGAAGTATTCTACGTCGTTAAATTGACTTTCTCGATGTACTTAACATACCTCTAAGTATATTAGATGCATAAACTAGGTTCATTCCTTCAGTATTTTTTAGAATCGAATTGGAATTTTAAACTGATAGGCAGTTATAAATAAAAACAAAATTCGAGGGAGTGTCTATTATTTATCAGATTTGACTAAAATGCACGTGACAATATTGCTGTTTGTTTTAGAAACCAAATTTTCGAGAGTTTAAATTATTATCAAAAAGGGTTTTTGTGGATATTATAGTAATTTCAGTACTTGGGATCATGAGTCAGCTGAAGCTAGATCACCATGGAAAACCTGGAAGCACTTGAGGGCCGTTTCGTTCTATTGTGGGACTCCTCAACGGTGCGCATACACGATCACACTTCGCGAGATTCGAACCCAGGACCTATCAGTTTACTAATTTATTTCATATTACTAAAAGATATGTGTTTTTAATAAGTTTAGTAATTCCATGCACTAGCTGAAACTGATGGCAATTACTAATTCTGTGAAACTTAATATTAACCTGTTTCATTTATCATTACATTTAAAAGTTTGTTGATAATTATCCGATTTGCACTTGACATATTATGCACAAACTATTAGAGGACCAATATGAATTTTCATCATAAACCACGATGACATCGGTTAAACGACCACCGAAAGCTAGGAATTACTGCACGGTTTTTCCGCTTTATTATAAGACTATTCAGAAGCACGAATATCACTAGGAGTCGAACTCAGGATCTCCAGATTTGATGGCGAACATTTAGCCTCCATCATTGTCCGCAATAATATTAATCACGTTCTCGCTACTGATTAGTCTTGTGAAGCCATGTCCGGAATTTTAATGGGTTAACGTTCCATTGTAGACTAACCATGTTGAGTCTAAGCCAGTTACTCATTACTGACATTGAAAGATGGTTGAGTCAATTGAAGTCAATCATGTAAACCACAGGATGTCGAATGAGTGATGTAGAAACTAAGCAGTCCCCATAAAACTTGAAAATTTTGGGTTCGACTCCCGACAAGACGCACACTTCTGAGGAGCTTCATACTAGTCCGAAACAGTTGTCCAGTGACTCCTAGTTTTCGATGGTTGTATGACTGATATTAGTTTGTGAGGTAAACTATAAAATTAAACAGTCTTCACAAATCGTTTGTATGATGTAATTCTCCAACAAAAGGTCTTGTGTTAATTTAGGCCAATAGAAACACAATTATTAGTAAAAGTTTTAATTGCAAATTATAAACAAGATTCAATAAAAGGTGTGAACTATGTCTCATAAACACCTTATTTGTCTTAAATAATTTAACTATCAAACAATAATTTTCAGGTTTTTAGACGATATTACATAAGATACTAACATGATAATCAGTGGTTGATATTGACAAACTTAGTTCATATTACAGAAGACGAAGACAACTATCATGCACCTTGTTCACTTATATTACTTTAAACAGTAACCAGAAGACTAGATTGAATTGTTCTTCAGTTAAGCGAAACAGTATTTTAGGCTTTTTGACTTTCAATTTTCGTTTAAATGATATCAGTTTGTGATGTTCATCTCCTAAGTTATAAAAAATGAAAACGACCCCTAGAAGTTTTATTCGTTCACTACTAATTTAACATTTAATCATTCCTATTCTGTGCTCTGCAAAATTTCCTGAGGTAAATTAATATTGTATCAAATGTCGACTATTACTAACAGTTTCGGTTTAGTAGGACAACAAGAGTTTATGATTCATATTATCTCGTTTAAGCAAATGAGATTATACTGAAGTTGTAACTCATTAATTTAGAGCATAATGTTTTGTAATATGAAGTTGTTGGTACTAAGTTCGGCTTTGTTTAATAATAGTATTATAAATGATGGTGCAGAATAATATGAATTCATTTTATTTCGTTAGGATCTCATCAGCTGCTTACAACCTGAAAGATTTGAAAATTAATATCTGTAATAACGTTGATTTCCTAATAATTTAGGTTGTAAGCAACTGATGAGAACCCAACAAAATAAAATGAATTCATATCATTCTGCACCAATCTTCGTTCTTGCTCTCTTTAACATAATAAAGGGAACTATGTATATGATATTATAAATGAATACAGGTTATTCCACTTTTTGAATAATATTAACAATAATCTCAAAGACAGAGGTCATAGAAATGGATTAGATAATCCTGTTGTTGATATTTTGGATGAAATGTGATCAACCTTGGTTGGAATATGTGTATCCTGTGTGAATCGCATTGATATAGCCATTGTTACACAAGTTAGCATAGAAAATATGGAATATAGCAGAAACGGAATGAATATATTGAGACAATCTTCACAGCATACACAAATGCCAACAAATACTGAATAAATTTTAGTCAAAATAACAACAACGGGATAATCTAATCGATTTTGAATTAAATTAAAACTCATACCCGTTAGATAAGTGAAGTGGTTATCTGAACTCAGTGATTAAGTAAATAATGAGATAATGTTTGAAGCTTATGTTACTAGATTCAAGTCCTGTCGTGAACGTCAAATATATTATACATGTACCACCAAATTAGAAGAAATACGCGTTCTGGATTCTATTGCTTACCATATTCCGTCTACATTTTATATCATGCATATGCTTCAATATATTATATATTAAGTTAACAAAAACTTGAATCATTTTTGTCATTTGTTGTAAGAATAGTTCACAAGAAATACTTATTCTTTGAAATTATAAATGATGATACGTTTGATGATTGTTAGAATAGCAACTTAGGGGGGGGGCCAGACCAAAACATGGCACAAATATATGAAGTCACTGACAAGTGGACTGAGCCATGTTCGTAGGTGTAGACTACCTGGTTGGGGACCGCGAGATGATAGCAACCAATGGTTAGAGACCCTGAATGACATGACTCAAAGTCGTTTGCAACGGCGCAGGTGCATCCACTCTTTGTGTTCTCCCAAATTCTAATCTTCTGAATTCTTCATGTCCTTTATTTTCTTTCCAAATTTATTTCACTGTATTATACTCTTTAAATAACATCCTCAAACTCTAATATTTCCGATTACTGCTTATACTCTTGCTACCTCTACCACTACGGGATTTGAGTCGACAATTGTATCTGTGTGCTAATGTGGTATGGCAACTCGAACTGATGTACGTACGTACGAAGTCCTACGTTGTTACTGACTGACTGACTGACTAGAATAGCAACTAATTTGTATTTTTAAATTGTAAAACCGAAAAAAAATTATGTTAAATTAAAAACATAATTCCTTGTAATTTTTTGTAAAATAATTCATACTCCTCAGTATAATTATTAATGAATAATAAAAAACGCACATTTGCGTATTTCACTAAATGAATATCGTATTGAATTCATGTATAACAGCACATATTCATTTAAATAGATAATTGTAACAATTAAATTGGCGACAAACTTTATCATTGTTATGGTAAATATGAATAGATAGATAGATAGATATATGGAAAGATCATTCATAACACAAACTTACCCTAATTTTCGGAGGCGGTGGTGACTTTTTGACTTCACTAAAATTTGTAAAAGGAAATCGAGATAAGCATAGAGTGTTATATATTTTCATTTAAGTAGAACTCTTGACATAATTTTTTACGAAACATTTTGTACTTTATTGTCGAAGCATTTATGAACATATATATATATATATATGTTGTAACATAAAAACAGAAACAATCATTGTCGTCAGTAACTTAACCAGTTTTTGGATATTTGTTGATTATTAGTAATAATTAAATTTTTTCAGTAATAGAGTACAATACAGTCACCAAGTTACTTATTGAAACAATATGATTCAATTGGTTAATAATATTTTTATATATAAGTGAGAAAATCAACCTCAGGAATTAAACTTTATCGTTAATGTTAGTAGTTAATAAAGTAAATATTTAACAGAAGGGGATTTCGTAGTGATTTCAGTAGTTTTATAGTTGAATCCATGAGTTAATTAAAGCTAGACCCCCATGAAAACCTGGAAGTGCTGGACGGCCGATAGGTCCTTGATTCGAATCCCACGAGAGGGATCGTGGATTAGCACTGCTGATGAGTTTCATACTGGGACGAAATGGCCGTCCAGTGATTACATATTTTTTGTGGTGGTCTAACTTTAATTGACTCACGAATTCAACTATAAATATTTAACTTCTAAAAGAAATCTAGTCTTAGTTTTTTTAATATTTGGATATTAATCCTTCAATCCTCTAATTAGAGAATGAAGATCATACAGCAGTATCGAAAAACACTTTTTACATTTCATTTAAGTTATGCAAGATATTTACTAATATTCGTATCAATAATATTAAGTGCATACGTTTCAATTATTAAAATAACTACTGACATGATTTAAATATTTTTTATGTAGTACGTAAGCGTGAGTAATGATAATTTATCAATGAGCAAAGTGATGACCAAGAGGTCTGATTAGACCGTAACGAAATAGGAGAAACATCTTTCAACTATCTCGGAACCATAATACGAAGTGATTGCACCGTAGATGACTTAATTAAAATCAACACTGAAAAACCAAAATCCTCACTGATAAAGATATAGTCGATACTAAAATACAAAAAAATATCTCAACATGAAACTTCGATTGGTGAATTCTTCAATAATCCACATTCTAATATGTGGACTAGAATCGATCGTTCTAAAAAATGAACAACACGAACTGAACATGTATACCGCACACATAAAAGACCAAACAATCTAATGTTGAGGTTTTTAAAGAGTGACATAAAAGATAATTCGAAAATTAAACACGCCCATATCAAGATCTGGATAGAACAATTAAAAATTAGTATAGGACAATTTGAGAATATGCTCTCTTTAAAGTGAATTGCAAATCCAACTAAGATTAAACAGATTAGGAATGATCACTATAATCCTAGACTAATAGAGATATGTGAACTAACATATGAATGTGGAAACATCGATTACAATAGGAAGTTCGGAACAATTAAAAAAGGAATCGTTAATTTACAAGCAATCACCATGCGAAATCAATAGATGTAGCATCTCTAGGGGATTACAAATGCCCTCTTGAAGAATAATTTGAAACGTATAAAACTACTGAATGCATAAAACGACACCTTCAAAACTGTGACTCAACCCCAGTATAATAACTCAATAATATAGTCTTCAACGGTCCAACTACAAAGTGATACCTCATTAAACTCAAGTGACCCATAACACCAATGCTCATGTATTGAGTATGAAGAGAAACTGCCTACCAAAAAGGCATCATCAATCACTGATATAGGGTACATCGATGGTTAGCAATAACCGGATAGGAAGTAAGACCAAGGACAAAAAATTCAGATGAGAAAACAGATATTGTGCCCCTTTATTTTACTGCACTTTAATTTATGTCGCTTTACCGGAAGAGCTAACTGACTTCACCAACCAGTTTGCATGAAAGCAGCAATACAATAGTAAGTATGATAATAACACACTCCAAGGTAGTGTAGCATAGAATTCCCTAATCGATTTAATTTATATAGTAATAACTTAACTGTATTAAGGAAATTAGTAGTAATAACTATATGACTGGATTCTAATTAGAAAGAGACATGTTATATAAATTATTATAATGTGAATAAAAATGGCGCTTGTTAATTAGTGTTAGAAAGTTATTGAGAATTGAAGCCTGACTAAATTTATCATTGTCTAAATGAGATTCACTATCCACTGGTGAATTCCTCCAGCCATCCAATAATAAAAGCTATATATAATGGCTTTCTGAACCGAATGCGACGAAAGGGGGTCCTGGATTCCACCGCTAGTCAATATTCATCTCTGTATACTGTATACAATCTCCATTCACTTAGAATAAAGACTATGATGTAACGTGATCAGCATTCAAGCAAATGTGATTTCGAATTTTATTCAATAATGACTCGATTCGCAAACAAACAAGGAAATAAAATATGAATAGTTAGTTAAATTATTTCGGGTGGGTTTCATTAAATCTGTAGGTAATTCTTTTCACAAACTGGCATCAGCCGGAGAACTATCGGAATTGAAAGAGCACTTGATAGATTTTTCGCTTCATCTTGAGACTTCTTAATAACCTGGAATCATCACTGGACTCATCATATTCCGATCTTAATGATTTACATCATCCATACTGCTATTGCAAATCGGAAACAAATTATAATTATTATATTTATAGTATTACCTCATTTAATACAGATACTCAATAGGTAATCAGATAATATGAAAAACAACCATTCCTCATTATGCTAAAATTATTCAGTCAGATTAGATTTTGAACTGCCTGTTGTTTACTTTAGATATTATATATATATATATATATATATATATATATATATATATATATATATATGTTTTGATCAAATACATCAAAGGAAGTTCCGATTTAAATGTGTATCCTAATAAGTCGAGTATAATCAATAGGAAATAGGCTGGTTTTATTGACGTAGTAGAATATTTATCACTTCTTGAAGTAACACTAACTATTTCTTTAGTTTTAATAGACACGGTTGTTTGTAAAATAAACTCATATCAAGATTATAATAACATATTACGTTGGATATTGTATTGACAGTCTGAGTAGAAATCTTGGTTTTATTTGTACACTAATAATGTGTGGAATAACTCTAAAGTATAGTTAATGGATTCTTTCACTATTTCAGGGTTTGATATATTCTCAAAAGAAATTGCGAAAAATCTTTGGTATAGGATATATTTCGGATAGAAATTATTTTCAGAACTGTGATAACTTCTAAAAAAGTTTTGAGTATCTGTATATGCTTTACAAATCCTGAACTAGGATAAATTTAAGAAATAACAAGGCATATTAAAAATTGACTTACTCTATTGCTTCTGTTCCTACGTCACAAACAGATTTAGGGTGTGAACTGACTGTAATTTGTACAGGTTTAGGTTCTTTTAGTGTAGCATGTACATCTGACATTTTTCGCCTTAAATCCTTTATTTCATCTCCAACAGCGTCCATTCTGGCGTCTGCAGCTTTACGTCTTTCTTCTAATTCTCTTCTAACACGACTATAATTCTCCTTCATTTCGGTCAACTGAATTTGAAGTTGGCGTATTTCTGTTTGTGCGGCGATTTCTCTTGCTGTGGGTTTACCATCATTTTGATCTCTGCTCTTTTTCATGAATTCTAAACCTTGTTTTAAAGTAGTGATCTCTTCCTCTTTTGATTTTAATGCTGTATCCCATGCTGATTTTAACTGATCTAAACGTTCTCTTGTCTGTTTCGCCTCATCAGTCCATCTTCTTAATTCTTTCTCTAGTTCTTCCATTCGCCTAATTATATACAAAGAATAAAACAGTATAACTTTGCAGAAACGTAGTATCTTTCAGTTCATTGTATTCGAGTAAAACAAACTAATTATGCTGTAGAGTGATATGCGGCAAATGTGGGCAGAGCCAACAGTGAATACTTTAGTATCAATGAAATAATAATAATTAAATTACATGTTATCATTTTGACTCCTTTCTTGACAGAAGTAGTATTTAGGGATAATTCGGTTTAGATATAAAACAATTCCATACTGAATAATAAGCAATTTAACCGAAGATTAAATATAATATTCAATCACCTTTATAGATCAAAGTGAATTATTTAATTAAAGATAAAACCTACTTAGCGTGATTAGCATTTTTAGCTAATTCTTTTGCATATAGTTCAGCCTCACGACGACGACGCTCTTCAGCTTCCGCTTGCATCTGTAATATACGTTTTTGTTGTTCATATTCTAAACGTTGTAAAACATCTTTTTGATGACCAATTGCTGCTGAAATAGTATCTAAACCAGAATCACCAGTATGAATAATGGGTGTTAACGATTTTGGTATAAACTCAGTTTGTAATGAAGTTAATTCATGTGAACTGTTTACAGATTGATTTGATACTGGGTAAATTACTGGTAAATTAATAGATGGTCTTTGTTCATAATGTGAACTAGATGTATTTAAAAATTCAATGAAAAAGATAATGCATTACTAGTAATACAATTAATAGTATTAATATTAAATGTCAGATTATTACTTTTATACTTTTTAGTGTTTCATGCTTTAACAATAACAATGCCGTTGTACTAGGGACGAGAGTGTCATAACTTGTGGGTTTGTGCCCCTATCAATGCATAAAGTAATGATACCGCCAATTAAAGAACAGTGAATTATCGACAGGACAAATGACGCATAAAAGCCGTACGAGCAGTCTAGAGTCCCTATCGGTCCTGCTTCCTGCCTAGCCCTACCTGTTAAGTCCAAAACACCAATCTAACGTTCTGCGATATCAATCGTAAATTTCAAACATACTGGGTTTATTTACAAGCCAAACGGCCCACATCGTACCGTAAAATATGAAACAACATCTGTACAAGATTTAGCTAAATGTAGCTGTAAATGTGGGAGATAGTAATTGATAGAGTGGGCATAACTCAAGGATGGTAAATCGTATAATAATTATTCATAGGTCAAAATAAAGCCTATGATAAGTGGAACACGAATATGAATAGTTTAGTTATTTAAAAATTATACAATCAAAATATACGCATAGTGCTAGTCCAAAAATAGATCCCAATAGTTACCATTCATTATTCTCATCAGGATATAACAGAGAAAATGTTCCATTTACATAAAATACTGCAAAGAAATTATTTTCATAATTAGGTGTTAATATAAAGAAGTTAAAATAAGAGTGGTCATATATTTTTCATGTAAATCTCCCAAAAGTCAGCCTTTTAATTTTTGCTAAACTAGAATATTATTTAAGTTCTTCATTATTAACTCCACCTGGAGCCCCCCTGGAGTTACTGCAGATCCCAAGCCCGGATAAAAGAGGAGGGTTGAGCATTGGGTTAGCGAACCCATCCCACAGAAAAATAATTCGCTAAAAAACGCTACCCAGAAAAAATAATTCAAACCATTTAAACTGTGCAGTGGGAGTTAGAAGGTTTTCATTTAGGAGAGTTATGACGTCTGATAATGAAAGCCGAGTTCCTTCGGAAGTCACGAGGCCGATGCCCCTTCTGACAACCAGATGAACCATTTATTTAGGTGCATGGAATGTTCTGTAGTATCAATGAATATAAACCTATCAGAAAGGGGTTTTGTGGAGATTGTAGTAATTTAATAGTTGAATTCATGGGTCAATTGAAGCTAGACCACCATGGAAAACCTGGAAGCACTGGATGGCCGTACGGGACTCCTCAGCAGTACGCACCCACGATACCACACCGCGATATTCGAACCCAGGACCTATCAGTCTCTCGTGCTAGCGCTTAACCTTTAAACCACTGGGTTGGTATCCAACAGTGTTAATGTCTAACTTCAACCAATCCACGAAGTTATACATTTAAAAAAGGGAATAGGACCAGTTGATTGTACATCCTTCCTAAAAAAAAGTTCATTTAAATTAAATAACGTGGAGAATATTTAAAAACTATATGGTCTAAAGTTTTCATTTAACTGACCTGTTTCATTGTTGACCTAAGAGGTCTAAGATTTCATGGAGAAAATGTTATTGTTGATTCATACATAAAGTTTGATAGTGAGTGTACTGAAACTTTCAAGTTAGAATAATGTAAACTACTATATCCTGAGTTTTATTCAGAATTCAAAAGTATTTTCAGTTAATGCTGTACCTTCAGTAAACAAACTTTTACTTATAATTTAGTGAGTTTTATGCTTTTAAATTCTAGTTCTATGGAAACAAAATATCAGATTTCTTAACATAACTTTCACTGTATTCCTCTTAAATATCTGCTGTCATCTGCTAAAATAATTTCAAAGAACGAGGAATTCACATAATTTGTGTTCATAGATGATGAACTAATTTGAAATTTCACTCAATCTGAATTAAAATCTAAGCTCAATTAAACATTATCAGGAGTGATTTCTGTAGGTCATATATTCGATTCGGAGTAACTGTTACTGGGAAATCCCAAATTAGGACTAAATAACTCGTTAATATTCTCTTGTCTTCAATGTTTATTCAGTTTATGATATAAATTGTGTTCAATTTAAAATACCTAGTAAATCAATTTTTTATCATTATTCTAAGTGAAGCAAAATACCAAATCTCATATCTTACCTAGGTCTGTTGATATTTTGTTGTAACTGCTGTTGTTGAGATTCTTGATGCATATTTGTCACAGGAGGTAATTCAGGATTAACTGGTGTATTTTGCCTTTGTGGAGTAGGAATACTTGGTGACTGAACATTTTCATTATTGTCAAGTAAATCTGTTGTTTAAAATCGGTGTCGTAAAAAATGTATCATAAAATTTGCTTCAATAAACATTTCAATGATTTTTAGTCGTTATTCAGTGATATAATAAATTAAATTCTAATTAAAAAATTAGGTGAGACTATAGTTTATGGGCGATTTTCGAATGATTCTAAAAAGACCCTGAGAATGTTCACCTACATACTACGGTTAAATTGGGGTTATAAACCAGTGTGAAGAATTAAGATTAATATTTACAGTTGATAGTTAGGGTTAGGTATTAGATATAAGGTTTTCATCATAAAATGACATCAGATATAATGCCAAAACTCTATTTAGCCAAATGAATTAATTGATTTCGCGCCAAAATTCAAGACCTATTATCATAAATGTGATTAGTTCACTCATAAATTGTAGTCTCCGCACAAATTGAAGATAAATTTTATTACAGTTAAATGTACTACTTAAAGTAGGCTAGTGATTTCATAGGAAATTAATTTCAAACAGTTCTTATTAAAACAGTTGAAATCATGAGTCGATCAAAGTTAGACTACCATGGAAGACCTGGAAGCACTGGATGGCCGTTTCGTCTTAGTATGGGACCCCCAGACGTGCGCACACACGGTCCCGCCCCCCGCGAGATTCGCGTGAGAGCCACCTAACCATCAGACCACTGAGTCGGCATCCAACTGTGTTTATGTCTAACTTCAACCAGTCCACGAAATTGAGCCACCGTACGCTATTGTCTTCTTATTTACCATGATCCTTAAACTTTTAGTCAAAAGTTATCAATTAAGCTCTTAAAAAATTAATTTTTCATTAAAACAGCTGTTGGTTAACTTAAAGCCTTTTCTCCCCTAGTTTACATGACATATTCAAAAGGAATACTAATATACTTATCCCATCCATGACTAATAAATGAGTAATTTTTAAAATATAATTGAATACATCACCGGGATAATTCAAGTGCTATTAAACGAGGTTCATAAAAGTTCTACTTGTTTAAAATATTCTATGTTAAATCTATTACTTTTCATCTTCAAAGTTTGAATCTTGCCACAAACACTATATTGATACTTGATGACCATTTTCATAGATAATGCCCCAGGCTATATTTCAGTTCAAAGTATATAGTTTTCGGCTGGAAAGTATCAGCATAAAAGAGTATAACTCAACAGTTAAAGCGCTTAGATTTGGTATTGCTCATTCAATATGTCCCAGTATTTATGAAAGGGTATTTCAGTTATTTCATGTAGATAAAAATGCGAAGTCGATTGACTGTATAAAAAGTAAGTAAATCATGAAACTGTTTTTTTAAATCAAATCAAAAACTATCCAGTATCAGTAACTGGACTTAAAATATAAATTTACTAATTTCAGATGAATAAATTAAGAACTCATTTTCTACTTACAAGGATGCTTTCAGTATGGGTTTTAATGTGTAGCGTAAGTGATTCATTTAGATGGAAATCTATTTTAATAGTATTCCTTTTCTAGTCAGTGCATTTACCAATAATACTTAAAGCAAATTTATATAAAATAGATGGGATATAGCTAACAGTGGAATCTAGGGCACGTTTTTGATCCTTGTGAAACTCGTCAGCTGGATATATTTGGATTCCAGAGTTGATGTTCACTTTGGGACTCAACCCAGTTGTTATATCCGTAGGAGAATAAATCAATGGTAAACATTAGAAATTACTTATGGACTAATATTATGCGTATATTCTTATTGTATGACTATTAGTTAACTATATTATATGTGTATTCATATTTTCTTCATTATAAGCTTTTATTTGACCTATTGGCTATTATCATACTATTTACTATTCTTCAGATATTCCCAATTTATTAGTGACAGTCTCTCGAAACCACAGCCACTTTTGACTTGATCTTGTACAAATGTTTTTTTTATTTTATGGTGTGGTGCGGTCTGATTTGTTTTTTTATATTGTAAACCCAGTATGTTTGAAATATATGATAGGTATCTCGGAGGCTGATATTGGAGTTCTGGACTTCACAAGCAGGGCTATGCAGAAAACTGACCAATCGGAACACTAGACTGTTCGTACTGGTGTGTGCGTCATTAGTTTGGTCGTATGAGTCAATGTATCTAAATTGGCAATCATATTTCGCGATAATTTTATAGCTACAGATATAACACCAGTACCATTGGCTTCAGATGCCATCGCATTATCCACTTAGCTATTGAGTCCAGACAGCCACTAGCTTGTGCAATGAGGTGTTTTAAACAAACAATGCAAAAGTTAATCAAAACTTCACCCCATTGCACAAGCTAGTTGCTATCTAAACTTTGTAGCTATGTGAATAATGTGGTGACGTTTAAAGCGAACGGTACTGGGTCAAGTCTGGGAATGAACATCAACCCTGGGGTGCAGGTACATCCAACTGACGAGTTGCAGAAGAACGAAAAGCGCCCCTTGGATTCCACTGCTATCCACTCCCATCTCTACCTATGTATCTTGAAGCTGTAACTGTTTTGTTTGGTCACTCATGGGGTAGACATCAAGCAAATTAATTTACAAGAAGTTGAAAATACGTCGCATTATTTATAACGATTATAATCGCTTCAGTTATTATAGATATATGACACAAATCATCTTTTTTTTATCACATTTGTTCAGTTTTGCTTAATTATCAACTAATAGTGTCGTCACCATATATATGGTATAAAAGTTAAGCCCTAAAGCCAGATGTTTGTTATCGCAAAAGATTCTTTTTAGATCTTTAGGTTCTCCAGTATTATTAAATCAATAAATTAGATTAGAGGTTTTAGTCGATTACATGTAATGCTCATTAATAAAACATATCATTGTAATCATAATTCATTTTTAGATCATTTGAATAAGATTGCTGCTAAGGATAAGTATAGACCACCGTTTAATGCTTGAAAGACTAACTGTGAAATAAATGTTTTCAAAAATTGTACCATTCAGACACAAATATTCATTTTGATGTTATAAATAATCTGTCCAATAGATAGAAATATAAAAATCTCATAACTTTATTTTATGAGATTTATAGTGGATCAATCTTATACCCTTTAAAATGCTGTTTAATTGTGGTAATCTTCGTTTCCGTCGTTATATTCATGTGATCAAACAAAGCCAGGATTCTCTTTGAAAGATACTACCGAGTTTGCAGAAGTATTACCACATATCACACATCTACTATTAAGGAAAACAATGTTGGTCGGTTAATTGCTGGATTAAGAGAGATCACTAAGCTTTTTCTGACTCCAAGTTTTCATCATTTTATTTCAGTGGTATTAGTCCGCTCTTTGAGTTTTTACATAACTAACAGCTATAATAGATTATACAGGATATTTTTGGAATGGACAATGTTTTTCTATCGAAAAGTTAAGTAATTATTCTTCTTTGTCCCAGGAAGTTTTAAAATATGACTTACTTTTTTTTGGATCATCTGGTTTTATTATTGGTGATGCTGATCTCGTTTGTCCTAATGTAGGAAGTGGCATTAAATTGACCTGATGATGTTGTGCTGCAGCATGTTGATAAACTTCTTTTTGATGTATTTGACTTTCATCAATAGCCTGACGATCTATCACATAGATCTCAGATAGTTCAGACTATTTGAAAAGAAAATGTGAGGTTAGTCTTTTTTTTACAAAAATCTCACTAATAAAAAAGTAACTATTTAGCTTAGTTACGATTCTACAAATCTATAGACTACCCACTGTGAATTAGAAATTATTTTCTCAGGAAACCATTTTTCACTGTTTGTATGTGCTCTAAGTAATAGAAAATCTTTTTAACTTATTATCAGATGAAGTGCATAAATAAAAAATCTAAAAATGACCTCATTTTAATTTGACTATACGAAATCAAATTTAACAAGCTTTACTCTTAATGATTATAAAAAATCTTCCAATAAATTGTACTAATTTGTATATAACTGTTGATTATAGTAAATTCAGTTAGACAACTTCATAGTGTTTACAGTATATTCATTTTGTTGCTTTAATCATGGCTGTACAAACTATATTTATAGGATAAATAGTTGAACTTTATAGATACCCTGTGAAAATGTCATAGTTGGAATTTCAGAAGGAGCTTCATAGTAGTAATAATAATAGACTGACAATCAAATTTATATGAAAATAAATCGATAAGCAAAATATTTGATAAGAACTTTCATCTAAAGTTTAACGAATAGTTTAAAAATAGTCGAGAGCCGAAATTATGGAAGATACTAAATAGTATGGGGTTGTTGAGATTATTAAGTTTTTGATTGAAATCATGAATCGATTGATGTAAGACCACCACTGAAAATCTGGAACCACTGGATGGACTCCTCAGCAGTGCGCATCCACGATCCCGCTCACTAGTGACTAGCTTCGTGAGGGAATTCTCGGAGTTCTGTGAGAAGCCGTGACCAGTGGAGCTAATCCATTTCAGATAGAGACAGGTATCTACCTCAGTGCAGTGGAAGATGGTCGTACAAGCGATATCGGAGGCCCTTGATTCGAGTCCCGTGAGTGGCATCATGGATGCGCACTGCTGAGAAGTCTCATACTAGGACGGAACGGCCGTCCAGTACTTCCAGGTTTTCCATGGTGGTCTAACATCAGTCGGTTCATGATCCCAGCCAGAAACTGTATTTGTAAAAATCTGAGTTATTAAAATTAGTAAAACGTTTCATCCAGGAACCTGGTCTAAACTCATTCAAGCGAGCGAAACTTCAGATTAGTTTCGATTTCAGCAGCTGAGATTTTTATACATACAATGTTCATTTTAACTGATAGGCAATTCATGTGAAGTGGTCTTAAGTAGATTAATTTATAGATGGTATTTGTATGGGACTGATATGATTTAGTGTACAGCTGAACAATATACATGTTATGGGTAAAACAACCCTCACCAATTTGGTTGTATAATTGTCAAGCTAAGTTTCAAGTTGACTGAATATGGAAATATGCACCAATAAACCACATCTCAGTGGCTTAGTGGTCAGTGCCTATCCGAGAGAACTGAGGACCTTAGTTTTGATCAATAATAGCATTGTGCGTGGGCCTTTATGATGATATATGCTTAGTTGTTTGCGTTAAAAAATGTTAAGTAGTATACATGGGTAAGAATGACTAATTATTGGTTGTTTTATGACCTACATTTTCATCATTGACAACTTATTTGTCAAGGAATAGATAACCCACAATCATTTTAATTGATTACCCGAACAATCACCAATGTATAAACCCAGTTATTTGGTGAAGACTTATCTCACTTATATAAGTAAATTGTAAGTTGACTAACCCAAGTCATTACAGTAAGTTTGAAAATGATTCAGTATGATGAAAACATTACGTAAGAATAGTCCTAGCACATTGAATGTCAAGAATCAATTTAATTCTCTTATGATTATAATTCGCTTTTGCTTCAAATGCTTACTTGGAATGCTTGTTTATCTAAAAACACTTCTGAAATAATGTAGTTGTAGAAATGTGAATTGATTTAACTATTAATTAAAGTGAAAATCCGTTTACGAAACACATTTGGTGACTTGTAAATAGTAAGATTAAATCTAGCGAATAGATTTAAATAGTTTACAGCAAATCAGCTTTTAATAAACCTGTTATGACCTTTTTGTATACATTAATAAAGTAACACTTCTAAAACTTTTAATAGTATGATTTGACTAAGAGATAATGAAGTGACAAATAGAAGCCTATTATGCTACACCCTAGTAAGATTTGAGTGGGAAGTAGTTTAAAGGAAATCTAATTGAATTCTGATGTTACCATCATACCACATAACCATCGTTTGTATTTTAGTTATCAGAATGAACTTTACATTCCAATTAAATACATAGTTTTAACGTATTCAATGACATGTAAAAATGGATTGATTACACATGGGCATACTGGGATGTGTTACCGTATGAACGGTGACCAGTGAAATGTTAAGAAGAAAATAAACGGTCTTTTATCAACTATCTGTGTCCAGTGTAACAGCTTACTTGTATAATAACTTGACATTTTTCTAAAATTATTTTGGCAACTAAAGTAATTTCATAATTATAGTTTATTTAGAGACGCCTAAGATCTATTTGAAAGGCTAAGTGAACATGCGAAATGAATCAAGTGAGAGGGAAAAAATAATGAACATTCTTAGACAAATCACGGTACCAATAAAATGTTACTGAACATAAATTTAAAAAATCCAACATTAAAAGAAGTTACAGTTCAGGCCAATGAATTCGCGTTATACAAATGTGTGAAATTCTCCCTTCTGGGGAGTCATTAATAAATCTGAATTATCTGTGACAACATTATGAAACACAATGAAATTAACTGATGAATATAACCTTCTCAAATTAGAACAGCAAATGAAGGGTCGAAAGTTTGATGGGTTGTCTTATATACATATTTCTTAATTTATACATTTTGTATTCAATAAATAAACTGAGTGGAAAATATTTTCATGTAAAATATCAGGTAAGCATAAATTATTTTTTGCTTACTTAGTATCAAAATTACTTTTGGCTATATATGGCAACTTATATTACAATAGATTCACCTTAGTAACACAACTGACAATACCTTTGAATATAATGTGTTATTGATGATCAGATCTATTCTTCTTGATTAACATCATGACAATGAAAGATTTTACAGTATAGTCTGATAAGCTTTCAAAAAATATTATTCATTTAATAGTGTAAAAAAATTAGGAATCATTTCAATCATCGACAGTCAGCTATCTAAAACTACGGTAAACCATGTAAAGAATGACTTAGGATACTGAGGATCATTAAAGATTTAAATTGATAAAAAATTATACTCAGCTCACTTCTACTGAAAATAAATTAAATTTAGTCATAGGCACATTGAAATCTTTCATATGAACAAATGTGTATCAAAAAAAAATTCATAGAAAAATCACTGAGGTGATCAAAGAGCAATAAGTGTAGGCAGATCTGAATTATCATCAGTCAGTACCGACCTGAAATTTACTACAACGATCTTCTTAGCAAAATTCAATAAAAAAGAAAATCTAAGAGCTACTTATAATCCGACCAACAAACGATTTATAAGAGTCTGGATGAACAAAATGAATCACTTCATTAAATAAAACTAAGAATCATAGTGTTTTACAAAACATAGATTTTTCTCTGATATGTTTTATGCTATAATTATACAAAGAGAGTTTATGTCAACTTAAAGCTCTCTGAATCATTGATATCAGACTGAAAGCTATTCATGTTAAAGTAAATTTATACTTCGTTGTGAAACCAATATATCTGTGATGATTACATTCATGGAGGCATAGTCACTAGGTTAAAGATATGAATTACATTATATATATTTCAAATATTATTACCAACCTCCTATGGATTCACATCAAAATCAAATGTATGAATTTGTATGTGAGGGAGGGGGGAAGGACCGATTTACATTACAATTTCAAATTACATTATACATATGTATTATTTACCTGAGGAGGAAGAAATTCATTCACTTTAAACAATATCTCTTGACTTGATTGAATCTAGAATATAAATTATATAAATTAAAAAATATTATAAAAGTTTAATATATTACACGACCAAGTGAATGTCCAACTTGTTTACAAAATATATAATCATTTGGTAAAATTTGTTCTTCAAATTCTTTCTTTAAAATTTCACGTAATTCAGCTAAATTTATATTAATTTTAGAACGAATTATTCCAGCTGAAACTGTATTTTTAATCACTTGAGTAAATGTTGTATTTAAATCATTAATCCATAAATTTGGTGGGATCACATAAATATGTATATCAATTAATTGTAAATCGGTTGAATTTGATCTGGATTCAATGGAATTTAATGAATTCATAGATAGTAATAAATTGATTTTCTTAATTATGTGACGTTATAAACTTTCTTTTTTTAACTATAATCATAATCATAATGAAAGAAAATAATAAGAATAATCATTATTAATCTTACTTATTTTATTCCCTTTTTACATATATATATATTACTTTTCTTGATATCTCCAATATAGCTAAAGAGATATGACCTTAAAGAAATAGATTAATTCCTTCTTTGATTTGAATCAGTATCATTTAAACATTGAACATAAACAATCAAATTCAATGGTTACTTTAAATGGAATAATAATTTAGTCTTATTTTATGAAATCACTTTTTTTGTCATTGATCCATTTCACAGTGTCCTTAATTTTATAATAACTATTAACCAATTAAAATAAACAAGAATATACCTGCATTATAATGAATAAATAAGTTGAGAATAATTTATTCCAGTTGTTTGTTATTTATTTAATTAAGTTTTATTATTTTTGCACTAACAATTTGATTAGTTTAATAGTTGTAATGATGATAATGTACGCTTACTTACATTAAGTTTAAAGTTCAATTGATTCTATAAAATCCATTATTACTACTTATATCAATATAAGTAGTATATAACACAAATCAGGAATATAATATCTGCCTGTAGAAATTTGAGATCAAGAAGTTGAAGAATGGGAACAGGAAGTAATTGATATGAAAATGTAGGAACAATAAAGTTTGAGTCGATTGATTGATATTTTACAAATTAAATATTTACTGTATTGTTCTCATATTTTACTAAGTGATATAACGGGAAGAAAAGTCAAAATTCGATTGATTTGCTAATTATGATTCTTGCTCAACATTACTCCCGTTTTGATTCAATGTGATGATTATTCAGTGTATAGTTGTTTTCTTGTATGATATTTTATTCTATGTAATATACAATATTCTTCTGTTCAGTTGACATGATCTATCCTGAGTATGTGATTTGTTATAACTGAGTATTTTTCATGTATGTGACTTCATCTTAATTATTAATCAAAACGGGTGAACAATCAATACATAAATGAGTGTATTTTCGACTAGCGTCGTCGTCGTGATCATATTTTTGGGTTATTTTAGGTTATCTTAGGAGCCGGATCTAGCGTTCAACTGACAAGATATATCACTAAGAAGTGTTGTAATTTTGTGTACAAATACATTTGATTGTCCCCTACTTGTGTTCTCGTTCATTGTACTACTATTACTACTACTGCTGCTATTGAGGGTGATTTTGAGTAGTTTGTAAAATATGATTTACTTTAGAAGGTATATAAATTAAAAACACGTGTCTGACAAATAGTTTAATATACGATAAATCTTTTTTTTTTAAAGAAAAAGATGTACTACTATATACCTTTGAAAAGAAATCTTATGAATAATAAGTTGTGGTAATATTTATGAATGATTTATAGATTCCGTATATGACAAATCCTAATTATATACAATCTAATATAATGGCTTGATAGACAGTAATACGTTTTATTTATTTATTTTAATTATAATCAATTTACTATTAACTGAATTCTTTCATTTGAAATTAAACATAAAGTGTTATACCAGTTTACTCGGATAAGATATTCCAACAAGAAGAATCATATTTATTATGCTAAAATTGAATATAATCAAAAGTTGAATTTTACAAAAGACGAAAGCTGAATCATTCAATTATAATTCATTGGCTCCAAGATAAAGAGCTTTTTAAATACCTTGAGGTTTTGAGTTAGGTTACCCTTCACGTCGTACATGGATACAGTAATGTAAAGTCTTGAGCTTGAAAATATTATTTACTATTCGGAGCCTTATAATTTTCAATGGTTCTCCATATAATATGAGTCAGTGATAAAAAAAATTTGCCTAGTTCAATTATTATATCAAAATTGGTTTACTTTCCTCTATTATTTTAATCATGAAATTTTTCACTTAACAGTTGATTTAAGAAAAACATTAAAAAGTGAGTAATGATTACAATAGTTGAGATCAGGATTCAGTTGAAGCTAGACCACCATAGAAAACCTGAAAACACTGGACGGCCGTTTCATCCTAGTATGGAACTACTCAGCAGTGCGCATTCACGATCCTGCCTCGCGAGATTAGAACTCAGGATCTATCAGTGACTGGCTTCAAGAGATAGTTCCTGGAGTTCTAGTGAGAAACACTGACAAGTAATTATTAACTTGAGTCGATGGGGAATATCGGACAACTAAAGTGACATAAATGAATGTTATTTACTTTCGTGTGTGTTTCCAAATGTTAGTAAAATGAAATTAGTAAACGAAGCCCGTTTAACCAACTACCTTCATGATATTCGCAATGATTGATTAAGTGATAAATTTTCTAATTGAACGCTAGATTCGGTTCCTAAGCTCTTCTAGTAATCCCCAAGCTAAATCTACACGATAACTTGAACATGGGAGAAGAGGTGAGACATATGGCAGAAAACGCTTTACTCCAAGGTTCGTTTATGTACAGAAAATCTAGGGTATTTATAGCATTTTAGTTGACCTTGGGTTTCCCGAAAATTCTGGAACGCTACAAAACATAGTAGCAGGATAGGTAATCATCCAGTCGGAATCGCCATATGTGACTTTTCACTTTCTAGATGTTCCTAGCATAACTTCTATTGAACGTTAATTGGATAAGATGTTTCTCAGCGTTTTCAGAGCATTTTTGGCTTTTATCGAGGAATTTTCTGGATCTTCTTAACACTAAGCTAAGAGACAAAATATTTCCACAAGATGCTTAGTGTGATATCCATCTTACGAGATATTGTTTTGAGTACTTTCTGCAATAATGTTGGAGCTGGCTTAAATCAATATTTTGAACTTTGAGATTGTCATAGAATTAATTGTTATTGTGACATTTTGTACCTAAATACTACGGTAACGTGGTAATGCCATATGATCGATAAATACCTAAGTCGCTTAATTTATCGTTTAAATTACTATACATGTTATATTACCAACATATTTCATTAACTTCACTTGAGAAATTAAAGCTCTGCTGTCAATTTTTGTCATATTCCTACAGGCACAAGTACGCCTGTCATAGTTGGAATGTCGTTGGTCTCTTTAATCCAGTGAGATCCAGTATAGTATAAAAGTTATTGACTGTCCCTCTTAGTTTAAATCCAAACTCAACTAAATTTTGATTAAATAGTTACAATTTCGAATTGGATATTGATAACTTTCATTTGTCTCACAAACAGTCAACATTCAATTTCAGTGGTGAAATTTGCCCGCTCATACAGTTAAAATATTTGTTCATCATCACTTATTTTTGTTATGTCTTTAAGCCCGGCTAGTTATCTTAGTACTGTGACAAACCAATGACCTTCGACCAGTATGAACAGCCTAGCGTCCTTATTGACCCATCCAGTTGAGTCTAGAGTGCTAATAATAGCCTCCGCTACGTGAATCATGTATTTTGAACATACTTGGTTTATATACAAGCCAAATATACCACATCACACCATAAAATAGGAAATAACATTAATACAATATTAAGCCAAAAAGTGGCTGTAAACGTAAGAGACGGTTATCAATAAACTGAGTATAATTTAATAACAGTAAATCGTATAATAATAATCTATAGGTTAAAATGAAGCTTATGATAAGGAGAATATAGATATATATAATCTATTTACTGAATAGTTATACAATAAGAATATATATATATATGTATATATATATAATATTAGTCAACTAATAGTTCTCAGAAATTACCCGTAGTTTAATCTTCACTAGGATATAACAGTTTTCGTAAAGGCTACACCATAAGGCTTCAATAAAACAAGACATTATTTACTACTCAGAAATTGATCTCATTAAACTAAGTAAATAATAATAATTCATAGCGTTAATCAAAAGTGTTTTTTTCCTCCAGGTGAATGTCATCCGCCATTAGGAGTAACAGGCGTATGTAAGTAAGTAAAAATGTCATCCGAAATATCATAAAACTATTAACTATTAAAAATATTCACCAGACAATCCAAACAACATAAATCACTTGTCTAATATGTTTATTAATATAAAACTTAACATGAATAAGTGTGAAAGTTGTTTAGTGTTTGTTTTATTTTTTCTTTCATTTCATCATTTTCTTAGTTATTTCTTATTAATTCATTTCATAAGGTTGATATTTTGCGTGACTAATTTCGATACTACTGAATACTTTCACCTGTATATTAAATATTAAAAATTTATGATTTTAATCAAAGAGATAATGGGTTTTTTTTCAAACATAAATTATCATTCGTATTGAATAATTTGATGTGATCAATTGCTAAGAATTGATGAGTTCTAGTAAACTTTAACTTTGAAACTTCGTGTACATTGAGAAATTTATGTCTCACCAATGATACAAACCAAGAAAGCAAATCTTGCAAAGTATACAAAGTTAAGAATTGGCTTTAGTGATAGGCTTTATCTGGTTGAGTTAAAACATAATAATTTTCATTTATATTAGAATTCAATGAATAAGGTAGGTATAATTTTTCATCTTGAATATTCATGACTGTTCAAACAATGTGACTAACAGAACTCTGTATTCTGATATAAGATTTTCTCTTCATGATAATCTTTTCCTGTACAACAATGATTGTTCTTTGACATAATGTTTTGATATCTTTGAATTTGTAGTTATTAAAGAAAGCCAGAATTGAATTCAGTTTAGAATGGATGAAGTAATGCTTTAGACTTAGCTATACGTACAGTTATGTCTTGCGGTGATAAGGGACAAATTAATGATTCTATACTTATATATATTGATACTCACTAGAAAGAAATATTTGAGTACTCAAAGTTTCTGAAATTTTAAAGGTTTTTTCAGCAATACACTTCGTTAACCACGAAGCTGGATCAAGTGGCCAAGTTATTATATTTCGTTCTTTGAACATTAAACGATATTAATATAATTGGACTATTGTTATGTACAAAATACAGGAAGCGCATTTCGTCCTGCTCAGGACTCATCATCTGTATATATTGGCATCTCAATGTTTATATTTATAACTAATA